ACTATGAATTTTGAGTCATCGTCTTTCTGAAAAATCAAGAATATATTTAGTTTGAATCATATTTCCGTTCCCAGTCTCCCGCCTCGGCAATGGTACTCATGTACGATCAATTTCATCTTCCAATTCGTAGGCACAATTTATGAATTCGACATGTTACAACGGTAGCCGGTCGCGTTTACGTGTGTGTTTTCGCTCCACTCACTCAATCGACCACAGTGTAGTCGGTGGTTCAAGCCGCAGGCCGGACGATCGATTTTCACTCGTTATCGTTCAACCAGTGTTATAAATCACATCTTGAAACGTGAGTCCTCGTTACTCTTCAGCTGGCATAAGTTTCGACTCCTGAGAGTAGTCGTTCTTAGGGGAGCGACAGCTGGTTAACGGAAAAATAGGTATCATAATAATATGATTCTCCAGAAATTAGGCAAGTCCTTGCGGTCTGTAATTACTTTTCAATGCTGCTACTTAAAAAATACTACAAAACAGGAATACCACATGGAAATATAACTCAATTGAAAATGTTTCATTTTGGTGTTATCTGTTTCATAACAGATCATCTTTTGGCCGAAGAAAAATTCCATTTCGATAAAACTAATTATATTTTAATGGTGCAGGAAACATTTCAAAAGTGAGCATAAATTTTCCATCCATTGAAGTTTCCGATTATTTCCACAACTTGTGAAAAATGTATTATTCCAGTAATTTATTGTTTCATCAATTTGTAACATGAATTCAGTGCGATGGAAATTATTCATTTTATGACTGTTTCATTTTTATCTAGCAGTTTGGCAATCATAATTACGACATACTCATATATCATAATGGTTTATTCATGAAGCATCCATCAACTCAATAGAAGTAGTAGAAACCACTAATATATGAAGTTCTGATTGAAATTCACTCGAAAGGAATAGAAAATATTGCACCCAAATATAAGTCGTGAATTGAATCCTTTCTTTATCAATAATTTTTCATTTATACATACGATTCTACAGTCTGTCCTCATTATGGAGAGTTTTCAAAGACATGTGTGATTATTATTCCAGTCATTTTAGGTATTTCAAACCCAAATTTGCGGAAAAATTCCTAGTGATCTGAATTTTTGCATACACCTTCATCACGGCGTTGTAATGAAGATGTGAAAAAATCGACATTGATATCGTTGCATGTTTTAAGTGTCTTGAAAACTTCTACCTGATACTTGTGCATTCTGTGAAAAATATACTTATATTATAGAGGTTTTGGAACTTAGTAAAATCTACTATTTATTAGACAAATGTCCTCCATTGGCAAATGTTCCGTATTTTATTGTTCCAAGACCTCCCCCGGAGTATTAAAGACATAATTTTAAGTAGTTTCATGATTTTGAACAGTTTTCATAATGAGTGATACATGTTTAATATGCAATGAATTTTTATCGGAAGTTGATGTATTAAAAGTTAGGCGTGGTCTACAAATATTAAAAAATGCTAGTCGCTAGAAGTGTGATAATTTCGAATATCTGAATACTGTGACTTTTGTGAATGTTTATAGTAATTGTCGTAAATATTATACGAACAATTTTGATTTCAAAAAATTATGTTTGTTTTGTGGAGAAGAAGCAAGTGAAGGAGTTGATAGAAAAAGAGAATACTACTTGTGGGTACAAGGCAATCACAGTAATTTCATGAAAAATATATTATTCAGTGAAGGGAAAGGTGTGCCTGTAGTATTTAGTGGTTCTGATCACGAATCTGAAGGAATTTTCAGCCTTTTCTGCCCTCTAGTATGATTTACCATAAAAATGGGTTCTTCCATCGCAAATAGGGAGCAGTGTATATCACTTAGGCCAACACCATATTGCCGGTAAGTGCATTTTGAGTATTTTCATCAATACTGCAAGTTTCATCATTCTACCTTGATAATTACGGAGGCTACGGGGATGCTTCCATGAAAAGTGAGACGCGTTCTATATTCCATTCATCCAATTTTAATCCAAATGAATTAGTCCACTTCCCATTAGTAGAAGGAAAGAAACAAGTACCTATAAATGTTATTATTTTTTTTACAAGTTACGGATATACAATATTGTTTTATTCTTCATGATTTATCGAGGCACTAAAAGAGAACAGCAAAGAAAATATTTCTTTAAATAAAGTAAAGTGAGTAAATAGCCGCAGGGTTTCAATATGGCGACCAATAATGATGTTTTTTATTACTTTCGAGGCAACTTTTTTATTTTGTTATTCAGTGTTCCAAAAAAATTCATAAGTAAAAATTTGGGTGACTTTTTCTTGATGAACAAAATTTGTTTGATTTCAAGTGTATTTTTTTATTTATGAACCCTACTTCTTGCACTATCAAAAGGCCTCGCGAAAAGTAGCTTGACCACATTGAATTTAGCTCTTGCGCCGCCACTGGTTGTCATCGTTTTGTAAAATGCACTGTGTTGTAAATAATTTATGACTAATGCTAATTTTTATTTATATATTTGTTATAATTATTAGCGCCATCCGTGTACATAGATGCGAACCTGTTTGTCAGGTGTCAATGTGATTGGTCAGTGTGGTCAATAGTGAGGTCAATAGTTTTTCAAACGGGCTGATTTCTTAATTGTAATTGTTTGATTTCGGGAAGTTATGCGATCTTGAATCATCCTTTATCAGGAATACTTTTTCGAATCAAATTTGATAAATTCCGACTGTGAAGAAGGGTTTGAAAACATTTCATCTGTTTTTGATTTCTCCTTTCTCATAGATTCCAATGCAGACAAAGGTAAAGTAATGTACATTTCGTTTACTTTGGATGGGAAATTTACCATCGGCAATCCGGTGAAGAACTCCTTGCGACCAGGGTTTTTTACTACTCAAAACACCTTCCTACCATCTGATCACCCTATCTAGGTCCATCTTATCTAGGTGGAGCTATCCAGCTTGAATCACTCAAAAAGAGGAGTTGATACAGGATATCCACCGAATCGAGTCAGCAGGGGAAATATTTTCAGGTAATCACGTTTAGACTACCCATTGGAGCCGAACATCATCTCAGTATCTACAGAGTGTTCTCATTGTGCAGTATACAGGGTTTTCATGCAAGTTATATTCAAAGTTTTTTTACTTATTACTTCTCACTTACGACCGTAGATATACAGAAGGTTATTGACGTGAAATGTATTTAATTTATTTTATCTCTACACTGCTATCTTCACACTGCTACCTGTAGTGCTTGTGTTTTGTTCGCAAAAAAAATTGTAAATTTATAGCGTATACAGTGTTATACATGCAAGTTATGTTTCCTATTATAATCTGATCATCACTTTCATTATTATTTCAAAGTACTAACGGGGTCATTCACTAGAGCGTACTCATCATATTGTAGTATATTGTTTTTTGTCGCTCATGTTGACAGATCTAACGTTATATTGCCGTTGAAATTGCGCGTATTCCATATGAATGATATGCGGCAATGTTTTTTTTTGTTTTTTTTTCTGTGGTTCAAGTTAACCTCGATAGGTTGCGCTTGAGTTCAAGCAGCCGTTTCACTATTCTTAGGCGTTTTCTGTATTCAAAACGTATTCGTCTATGAAAAATACATTTATTCTGACGTTGAAACGATTACGTCACGTACACTATGATTTGAAACGTATTCATGATGAGTCAAAACTAGCATGAGGTTGATTTTGAAACGAAATTTGAAGTTACGTTACGTCAGTTGTTAGAATATCTACTTTTCACAAATCCGATTCTCACTGAGGGTAGAGAAAATGGAAAAGTTCGTTTTTATTATTGAATTCGACATCTGACAAATTGAATCATTCCATTCTGGCGAAACTTATTGATAATGACGTCACTACGAATCGTTTTTGAATACACGCTCGAATACGATTAAACATCAGAAAACACCTCTTTGTGATTTACCTTGGTTTAACTAGATCCCTCGATTTCCGTAATAACTCTTGTGCATTCATGCCCTATTTATTGTGCTTGCATTCATATCAAGTATGTTTTTTTTATTGAATTCTATTAAGCGGTACCATTGTGTCATCAAATCTTTTAGTAGTCAGCATTTTTGGTAAATTGCACTTATATTGAGTATTTGGTAGGGAAACAAATTGATCTGGGGCCCAAATCAACTCATTTATGTGGAGTTAACCATTTAATTGTTCAAACACACTTTCTAACGTAGATACTGTTTGATTTGACATAGAGCAGAATTACCATGCATTATTGCCAATTTTCTCAATTGTTCTGATGACGATTACATTTGGTTTTCACGTAATATAATTGTTTACCGATCATATTTCGTGAATACCAAACAGGAAAAGACCGATTGGAATTATGGATCGTTGAGTTTCAGAATAACTAAATAGAGGTGATTAGAAGAACCATCTTGAAAAGTGTTGACAGTTGAGTTGAAATACACCTCAACTTGCACAGAACACTTATTGGGCTACTCACTGGTCATTTTCCATTGGAAGTATACTTGAACAAAATAGGGCTGTAAAACGGAGAACTTTGCTGCAGACAATGCAACAAAAAGACAGGGATAGCTCGCCATAATTTATGAAAAGTGGACAGTTCATGAACATCCCTGGCAATGTCTATAAGAATACGATCTATACAACTTAGTTCAGGGATCAAGACTGCTGCAATGGATGTCATGAAAGAGAAGGGGGACTCCTAAATAGAAAAAAAATGAATTTTCACTTTTATTAAATAAATGTTTACAGATTGTATAATTTCTTATTTTTATTCCATCATTTTCTTGATCTCACTTTTTCTCTTGCTTGTCCCCCTTTTGGCAATCCTTTTCCTTACTTTTCTTTTCTTTCAACTGTTTTTCTTTTTCAGCTGCCTCACAGTCTTTCCGCTGAACGTATTTGAGCAACTCCACCAATTTGGTTGCGTAACCAGTTTCATTGTCGTACCAAGAAATTAACTTAACGAAATTGTCATTCAGGGCTATTCCGGCTTTAGCATCATAGACTGAGGTACAATGAGTACCTATAATATCAGATGAAACTATTTCTTCTTCGGTGTATCCCAAGATTCCTCTGAGTGACCCTTCAGAAGCCTCTCGAATAGCTAGATTAATTGTGTCCATATCTGCAGATTTACATATGCGGGCGGTCAGGTCTACCACAGAGCCACATGCCACCGGGACACGAAATGCCATGCCTGTACAAAACAAATTTTAATATTTAATGCGCATAAAGTTTACAAGAATCACAGCATCAATTGTAAATATGCTCAACAAAATATTGAATCATCCAAATAACAATGGCATACCTGCTGCATTATATCTATTTTTTATTGGGAGGCCCAAGAATTATAGGAAAATCCTTGAAACTCCTCGAGAATCTGTCTAGGTGAATATGGCGATTAACCTGATTCAGCTCGATGTGTATTAATTATATTTATTTGTGAGAACCTCTCGGAAAATTTATTCTACAAAAACACCGTTCTCTAAATGGAAGGTTCTTCAAAAAGTATAGTTCGAAGCTTATTGTCTTGAACCCAGAAAATTATCGTGAATGAATCTATACTGAAAAGACGAAACCCTTTTTTCCTTCTATGTCAGGCAGACTGCTTTTTGTGAACAATACTGAAAGTCTCATTTGGCTGTATCGCCATAAGAAATTGCTGAGGCATGTACAATGTTCCGGTTCAAAATAGTGTTTCAAATTTTTGAGGGGTTGCCTTTGTTATTCCCTTAACGAGATTGTATGAAGATGTATTGATACCCATTTTGACACCAACAAAGTTCACCCAACAAAATGGAAATAAAAATAGAAGTATACTTCTGAGAGCAACAATATATCGAATTTATGATATTTTTCAATAGATCGATGGGTCACTGAAAATATCAACATTGGCAGCAGATATTCAAGAAAGAACCATCGACAATCTGGTACATTTCCATTTTCTCTGGTGCATATTCTTCAAAGATGGGTGACATATGAAAGATGGTCGCCTGTTTTGCTTTCAGTAACAATACTGATGATCGCTCCAAATTCTGAAGCATTCTAGATAGGCCTGGAAGTGTTGCCTTACAGTTCTTCATTTTATTCTCAATAACATTATTGGCAAAATATTAGTTCATAGTTATTACTGAAATTAAATTGAATCAATAAGAAGTCCGTCGGTTCATTTTTGAGTACTGTAACAAGTACGAGCTCGAAAGCTCTGTTACGTATGTCACGTATATGTTATATTTCCAATCGTTTTATATGGCAGATATAGACGTAGTAATCGCACCATTATTGTTGGAATGCATTTATGATTACATTTATTCGTTGTTTTTATGTATTTCGACTGGAAACTGAAATAAAGACAGTCTATTGAAATGGTGTTCTTATTTTTAACATAAAACAGCCGAAATAGTTCAGTTAGTTCATTCTAGCAATATGGACATTGCTTCTGTGTAGCTATATGTACTATATAATTACTGATGGTTTGCAAGTCTGAATCGACAAGCGGACAATGATTCCTTTCAAGTATACTTGCAGTCATGAAGAGCAAAAATCAGGAAAGGTCAGGGAGTAGGGACAAGTTCAGAGAGAAGAGATCGATGAAGTGAATATCGTGTGTACAAGTAAATTTTAGTTGTGACTTAAAGATATTCAGGTGATATTACTGAGAGAATATTACTGTATACTAAACAGAAATATGAATTTTTCCGAAAGAACATTTCGGCATTTACACCACATTGATCCTTCTGTCATTATGTTATGAAACAGAATTATTTTCAATTCAACAGCAATATTTATCCCTCTTCACAAGATTTATTTATAGGAAACCCGTTGAACCCCTTACTTGCGGAAGTTTTCATGGATAACCTAGAGAAGTCAACTTTTAAGAATCCTTTGATTAAATATTCCTTGTATTGACATAGATGTATAGATGACATTTTGATATGTTTCACAGACACTAAGTGATCATTAGATATTTTTCATAGGGATATTTACAAAATTCATGAAAATATCAAATTCATTATTGAAGTAGAATCAACAATAAAAACTCAGTCAATTTCTTGAACCTGACAATTAGTAGAATGAACAACAAACATGATTTTTCAATTTATCACAAACCATCCCATATGGATATATGGATATAACTATTCATCACGATTCTACCTATACGTATCAACACAAAATAGCATCTTATTATAGCATGATTCATAAATTGGTCAATGTTTCTCTATCAATAGATAATTCTCATAAACGGATTCAATGCTGAATTAATAGACAAAATACTCTCCAAAAAAGTCAACGCAAAAGCGGCAAACCGGCAGAATATTTAGGAATCGCTTTCAGGAACATCATATGAGCTATGCATATATATGTATAAACATTTTCAAATCATCTTCCAGAAGAAAATCATATCTCTAACGGGTATTTCGAAATTCCATAGGTTTGAAGCTAAATCTTTTGGAATCAATGGAAATTACTGAACTTAAAAATTCAAACATTTTACTGAATGACCAACTGGATTCATTACTGAACTTTTTTTAAGAAACCGATATTATCCTAGTTTTCATAGACATATAATTATTGATGTAGAATCGGTATAATATGCTCTTGTAGGTAGTCCGCACTGGTGATTATGTGTGGTATATAAAAATTAGAGTAAAGAATCAACTTTCAGCAAATTATTATTCACTAAAAAAACTACTATAATAGCGAAACATGTCGTGGTATTTTTGAAAATAAAGTTTGTGAAGATCAAATCATTAGGTGTAGTTTGTGAAATTTATGTGGTTGTTCGAAATCAGAAACATTTTGATATCTATGATATTCATATAAGAAATTCAGATCTATTTTTTCTCGAAATGTTCTAAACAAATCATTGAAAAAACAATAGTATCTTAGATATTTACGTGATAACTATTGCACCATTTTTCAAATTGATTTTGGTGATTATAAGAATGATGGAACTGAATCGTCTGAGAGAAATTGCAGCCTATTCAAAAAATTGTATATAGGGTGAAGTAGCAATCGTAGGGTGATAATGACGTTTCTGAACCTCCTCTTACCATTCGACCTTGACCTTGAATGACGCCACACGACTTTGAGCTATGTGCACGTCATATGACCTTAAAGACCCCGAACGACCTTGACCTATGAGAACTTCAAATGACCTTGAAATTGGACTTCGCCTTCGACATCGAGTCAGTATAGGGAGATATGATTTTTATTAGGAATTGGGTGTAATTGTTTCAGTTCATCAAAGCGTTCAGCTCGAAGTGAGACCTAGCGGTGAGATGATGCACAATGATCCTCTGAAGGTCATTTTGAAATCAAGAGATTCTGCTATGGTTACCATAATTAGCGTGATTCGTTCAGTCAGAACGGGATTAGGTTAGGTCCAAAGTGAGTGGGTCGACACTACATCGCAACCCGCAAGGGTTTATTGTGGCTCACACCTATTCATACTCGACCAAACAAACCCAGCTTCTTAACAGAGCCGATTAGTCAGAACGAGAAGTCAATGATGCAAAGATGTGCTGCTTTCGTCACTTTGATAGCAAGGTGTGCGGTGTACTCAAATCGGAGCCGTCATGCTTCATAGTTGAAGAAGTTGTCGATAGGGGTTTCACTCGTATATATTTGTGTATATGAATATTTCGTACTCATGGTCAATGGTACATGAATATTTATGTTCCCAAGTTTGAAGGTATTTTTTTCTCATAATTTATTTCATGTATGCAATATTATCTTAGGCTCGCCCTTCAGACACATAACCTCCAATATTTTTCAAGATCAAAACAACAACAATGTTTTTCAAAATATAGAATGTATTCACCAGGCGACCCCCTGAAAGTCGTTTCAATACCATTATGATGTTATAATGGGGTAATTCATTTGTCTAGAACTGAATGACCTTAAATGCAAGGCGGTAAGAACATGTTTGGATAGTGCTGCGAGTTGGAAACTTGAAATTTAAAGCTGAAAAATATTTGGAGAAACATAGTGATAAAATATAGGGGACATCTGCCTAATTGAAGACCCAAACACTGCGAGCAACCTCGATAGCCAGAAATAGTCAGAAAGTGTTCGGCTTAACCCGCCTAAGTTCATTCAGAAGTACGCCCCAAAATATGTTCGAAATCCCACTCAACAGAACTCGAACTACACGTTTCAAGAAATCTTTCATTTGAAGAACGGCGTTTTCGCGATGAAATTTAGACAGTTTTCGCGAATCAATATTATTTACATTATCACATTTCAAATACAGTTTAAAATACAATGTACAGTTAGGTACCATTATCGAAGCGTTTTGAGAATTTTCCTATAGTTCTTGTGCATCTCTTTCAAAAAAATAATTTCGAAGATATCTCTGAATGTGGTCCAATTTGATGTAAAAACTTTTTTTTCCACTTTGAAGTGACTTCAATGGGTATTGAAGTTTCATCTCAACAAATTAATACTGTCAAATGTCAGAGACTTATCCAACTATGTGCAAGTTTCAACGTATTTTGCTATGTACTTTGCTCAATATAAAAAATGCGTAATTGTTCGAGAACATATGAAGTGTTTTCAAATTGAAGTATCTTGCTTTAGATTCATCAAGCTCTGCAGATACCTACTTTATTTCATAATAGTTTTGATGATAACATGAATGCATTTCTCTGAATATGTATTACTCTCCTGAATAAACCTTAAGAATACATACCTGTGAGTCTTCCTTGTAATTCTGGAATTACTTTGGTTACTGCTTTTGCGGCACCGGTCGATGATGGTATAATGTTCTGAAAACCGCCCCTACCATCTCTCCATGCTTTTTTGGCAGTTCCGTCAATAAGTTTCTGGCTAAGAGTAACTGCATGCACTGTTGTCATCAAACCCTCGGAAATGCCAAAGTTTTCATGAACCACTTTGGCTAAAGGTGCCAAGCAATTGGTTGTGCACGACGCCATGGAGATAATCTTCAAAACAGAAATGAATCAATGATGGAAATTACATATTCTTCATTCAGCGGCCTGTAAGATCACCCAACTTCAACTCACTCAAGTACTATGTTTTGGAATATTTGTAGTCCATGTTTGAAAAACGTTATCATGATTTATTTACACATGTAAGTTAGTACTTGTGATGAACTGTTTGGAACCTTTGGTATAGTAATGAATGTTACTGGAGTTTTTTTCCCAACACCAAACCGGTTTTTTAATACCTCGACACGTGTTTCGATCACCAAGTGATTTTCTTCAAGAGGAAGATCAAACTTCAAACATTGCGTTTGATCTTCCTCTTAAAGATGATCACTTGGTGATCGAAACACGTGTCGAAGTGTTAAAATAACGGTTTGGTTTTACGAAAAAACCTCAGTAATATTCATGTAGGTTAATAATTGAAATTACCACTATTTTTCAAACGTTTTGTTTGAAGATTATTACCAACATAGAAATATTGATATCATCGATGGCAACTCAAAATTTCATGAATCACCTAGATCTTTTTTCATTTTGTACACAATATTATCGAAGTATTTACATTCAAGTCAAATTAATTGGTGATGAAGTGTATGCTGGAATATCAAAAACATTTAAAATCATAACTTTCTCTGTTTTTTTTCGATAATGAAAACCAAGTTTCAAAATCCAGATGAAAGGAAAAGATCTTATTGTCGCTTTCAGATATGTTCTAAGATATATGAAATTGTGTAGAGTTCTGTCCGAAATTCTTGATGAGGCGTCAGCACAATATTTTTCGATCAAGAAACATGTCTAATGTCAGAAAACTCGGTAGATAATAACATTATCCCGAGGTGGATTGAAGGACACGACAAGAGTGGCACCTATGGTCTGATGACTTCAACAATTGCGAAACAAACCAGACGTTACACCCATGCCCAATCCCTGAAGAGATGGGATGAAATTAATGGAGGCAATCTTGCCAGGGTCATCCTGGGCGACCCTGGGAAGATGGCGCCAAAGGAATATCTGGCGATGACTAGAAGGAAAAATCTACGCTAAACAGTAGGATTTCTGACTGGTCATTGTCAACTGAGAAAATATCTCCATAATGTGGGGCTAGTGTACACACCTCTTTGCATGATGTGTGAACAGAAAGATAAAACTGTCAGGCATGTCCTATGTCCTATGGAGTTATCGTCAATAATAATAATAATAATAATAATAAT